GCACTGTTCACCACTTTCATCACCACCCCAATAGTGATGGCAGTGTATAAACCAGCTCGAAGGGGATCACCATACACGCATAAAACAGTTCAACGCAAGGATCCAGACACAGAGCTAAGAGTGCTGGCATGCTTCCACAGTACCTACAACATTCCCTCCTTGATCAATCTGATAGAGTCATCCCGGGGAACCAGAAAGCGTGGAAAGCTGTGCGTGTATTCCATGCACTTGATGGAACTCTCGGAGCGACCATCAGCCATCACAATGGTTCACACGGCACGCAACAACGGCATGCCCTTTTGGAACAAAAAGCACGATAACAAAGATCAAATGGTGGTTGCGTTTCAGGGTTATGGCCGTCTAAGCAGCGTCAACGTTCGTCCCATGACAGCCATATCCGCCTTCAGCAGCATGCACGAAGACATCTGCACCAGTGCACACCAAAAGCGAGTGGCACTCATTCTCCTCCCTTTTCACAAACACCAACACTTTGATGGGACGATGGAGTCACTGGGAAACTCATTGCGTGCAATGAACGGCCATGTCCTCAGCCGTGCTCCTTGCTCTGTGGGAATTTTGGTTGATCGTGGACTTGGAGGGACAAGACAAGTCCAAGCCAGCGATGTGTCGTACGATGTTGTTGTAGGGTTCTTCGGAGGAAGAGATGATCGTGAAGCACTTGCATATGGAATGAGACTTGCCGAACATCCTGGTATCTCACTCACTGTAGTGAAGTTTGTGGCTGCACCTGGTCAAACATTCGCCTTTGGTGCCAAATTGATCGGTATAACAGCGAACAAGGACAGGAAGATAATAAACGTGGATCAGGGAACAGGTAATAGTGACGAAGATAAACAAGAGGATGAACAGTTTTGGTCGGAGTTCATGAGTGTGAGATCTAACAACACGGAATCGATTACGTACGAGGAAAGATTGGTAGACAGCAAAGAAGATTTGAAAGCAGTGTTGAGGGAGAAGAATCGGAGCAATCTTATTTTGGTTGGTAGAATGCCGCAAGTGGCTCCTTTGGTAGAAAAAAGTGATTGTCCCGAACTTGGTCCCATTGGAAGCTATTTGGCTTCTTCTGAGTTTTCCACTTTGTCTTCAGTTTTAGTGTTGCAGCAATATAATCCTGAAACTGATGTTTATCCGATGGTTATGGAGGTTTCTGATTACATGGATGTGCCAGACACACCAACGGGTTTGAGTTTGTCCAGTTAAAGTTGTTTCTGGGTGTTTGTCGTGTTATAGAGTTTCATGTACAACAAAAATTTAGAATAAAACAAACATAGTTTTCAACTCGAATCTGTTTTGATCACTTGTTTCTTTATATTTTGCTTCTTGAGAACGCATAATTAGATGCTGAAAATAACTTATAAAACGCTAGAAAGGTGTTTGATTGTTACAGATATAAAGTAATGATGAATGTCACACTAAATACGGTTAAAATATATCTAATGAATATTTAATTTGTCTTAAACACAGCTTCTTTTATATTGAATTCTGTACTGGATTTTTCTCTGTTATTTTATTTTTGCTGTTTTCAAAATATACAAATAAAAATTGATTTTGATATTTTAAAATAAATATAATGATAACTAGCATAAATGTATTAGGAAAAAACAAAACACCAAAAAAAGAATTTATTGGTAGCTTAATGCCTTATCGGCAAATATTAAATATTCAATCATCAATCAAATGTAAGTCTGATCATTCATGATCGACCACATTGGATCGACTATTTTTAATTGACTGTATTTAACTTATCATTCTCAATTGACAATTTTTAGTTGTGAATCCTTTTATCAATTTCTTGTATATAATTGACTACTTTGACCGAATAACATAACTAATTGATAATAAAATGTAGGTCAGATTAATCTAATGATAATCACGACTACTATGATCTTTGACATTATTTAGAAGATGATAAATTGACATATGTTAATATCGTGGTCTACTTTTTTTTTACATGTTTATTGTTTAATTCCAGAAATAAAATTAGAGGAATAAAAAAGAAAAATAATATAAAAGAAAAAGAAAAAAGAAATATTTTTAAAATTATACATATTGTTGTGTTAGCAAATATTCTGACATATCAACGTAACAATTAGACATGTCACTAAAAAGTTAACTTTGTCAACATAACTATTAGATATGTCTTTTAAAAGTTGACGTTGCTGGTTTTGAAAGATATATTTAATGAATTATTAAATTATAGAAATGAGTTTCAAAAAGAACGAATTCTAATTTTAAATGTAAATTGAAGAACTAAAACATACTTAATCCTTTAAAAATATAAATATCACATTCAGTAATAAATAAATAAATAAAATATGAACTCAATATTACAACTATACCAAAAGTACAATTAAACCTTATGTTGGCTAGGCTTTATTTAATTGAACTAGTTTTGATTAATGCAAAGTGTAATGGTTGATTGTATCATCTTTGTTTGATTAATGATTGTTGGTTCACCAGACTGTTTTATTTTTTAATTTTTTTTTTTACTGTGGGAACTGATAGAATAACATCTGTGGTAGAATGGACAATTGCAGAATTACTTCAAAATGAAGAGGGTCGGACAGAGGTGAAACAAAATAAATAAAATACATCCAAGGTTTGAATGTTTGAAAGAACCGAACGACTCTAACAACGTTTGGAAAATCAAAATTCTTGAATATGCAAGAGTAAAGCTTCTTAACTTGAATCTAGGCGATTCAACATTTCGCTTTGTTTGATTTGTTTGTGTCGTGCCATTTACTTAACTTTGGTGTGTTCTGATCAATGAATAACAAGAGTAGAGTTTTAATGTCAGAGTAGAAAAAACATTGTAATAACAGGTTAACGTGTAGCTATTTTCTAAGCACGAATTTACGTGTAGTTTCTAATAATATATCTTCTGCAACAGGTGTGAGGTTATTGGCAAGATGGAACAAAGTCGAAACAACTGATGTGGCAGTTTTTGAGAGTACAATGTTGCTGATATGCTTATCTCACATCATCTCCACCTAAATTTATATGCTATAAAAGAAAAAATAGATTTTACATCACAAGAAGGAAAAGGAGAACAGGAAAAAAAATCAACCATAACAGATTCCATTATCAAAACTTCAAACCACATCTTCTCGGGGAAAAGATTGATCTCTGGCATAGGATTCAAATAAATAACCAGCTATGTCGGTTAGTTGCATGACCCTTCGATCGTTATTTTATTTCGTGATTTTGTTTAGAACTAAAAGGAACAAATTTAAGGATGTCTTGTTGTAAGGTAGATGATTCCGTATTTTTGGAATTGTTACGTTGTGGATCTGGTAAGAATCTCTAATCAATTCATGTTGGCATGTAAAAATCCATGCCATTGTTTTCTTTCTAATTTCTAACATTTTGGGTGAGCTTATCGATCTGAGTCTCGTGTGATTTCATTTAACGTTGGGGGAATTCTCATTTCTCATCANTAAACACAGCTTCTTTTATATTGAATTCTGTACTGGATTTTTCTCTGTTATTTTATTTTTGCTGTTTTCAAAATATACAAATAAAAATTGATTTTGATATTTTAAAATAAATATAATGATAACTAGCATAAATGTATTAGGAAAAAACAAAACACCAAAAAAAGAATTTATTGGTAGCTTAATGCCTTATCGGCAAATATTAAATATTCAATCATCAATCAAATGTAAGTCTGATCATTCATGATCGACCACATTGGATCGACTATTTTTAATTGACTGCATTTAACTTATCATTCTCAATTGACAATTTTTAGTTGTGAATCCTTTTATCAATTTCTTGTATATAATTGACTACTTTGACCGAATAACATAACTAATTGATAATAAAATGCAGGTCAGATTAATCTAATGATAATCACGACTACTATGATCTTTGACATTATTTAGAAGATGATAAATTGACATATGTTAATATCGTGGTCTACTTTTTTTTTACATGTTTATTGTTTAATTCCAGAAATAAAATTAGAGGAATAAAAAAGAAAAATAATATAAAAGAAAAAGAAAAAAGAAATATTTTTAAAATTATACATATTGTTGTGTTAGCAAATATTCTGACATATCAACGTAACAATTAGACATGTCACTAAAAAGTTAACTTTGTCAACATAACTATTAGATATGTCTTTTAAAAGTTGACGTTGCTGGTTTTGAAAGATATATTTAATGAATTATTAAATTATAGAAATGAGTTTCAAAAAGAACGAATTCTAATTTTAAATGTAAATTGAAGAACTAAAACATACTTAATCCTTTAAAAATATAAATATCACATTCAGTAATAAATAAATAAATAAAATATGAACTCAATATTACAACTATACCAAAAGTACAATTAAACCTTATGTTGGCTAGGCTTTATTTAATTGAACTAGTTTTGATTAATGCAAAGTGTAATGGTTGATTGTATCATCTTTGTTTGATTAATGATTGTTGGTTCACCAGACTGTTTTATTTTTTAATTTTTTTTTTTACTGTGGGAACTGATAGAATAACATCTGTGGTAGAATGGACAATTGCAGAATTACTTCAAAATGAAGAGGGTCGGACAGAGGTGAAACAAAATAAATAAAATACATCCAAGGTTTGAATGTTTGAAAGAACCGAACGACTCTAACAACGTTTGGAAAATCAAAATTCTTGAATATGCAAGAGTAAAGCTTCTTAACTTGAATCTAGGCGATTCAACATTTCGCTTTGTTTGATTTGTTTGTGTCGTGCCATTTACTTAACTTTGGTGTGTTCTGATCAATGAATAACAAGAGTAGAGTTTTAATGTCAGAGTAGAAAAAACATTGTAATAACAGGTTAACGTGTAGCTATTTTCTAAGCACGAATTTACGTGTAGTTTCTAATAATATATCTTCTGCAACAGGTGTGAGGTTATTGGCAAGATGGAACAAAGTCGAAACAACTGATGTGGCAGTTTTTGAGAGTACAATGTTGCTGATATGCTTATCTCACATCATCTCCACCTAAATTTATATGCTATAAAAGAAAAAATAGATTTTACATCACAAGAAGGAAAAGGAGAACAGGAAAAAAAATCAACCATAACAGATTCCATTATCAAAACTTCAAACCACATCTTCTCGGGGAAAAGATTGATCTCTGGCATAGGATTCAAATAAATAACCAGCTATGTCGGTTAGTTGCATGACCCTTCGATCGTTATTTTATTTCGTGATTTTGTTTAGAACTAAAAGGAACAAATTTAAGGATGTCTTGTTGTAAGGTAGATGATTCCGTATTTTTGGAATTGTTACGTTGTGGATCTGGTAAGAATCTCTAATCAATTCATGTTGGCATGTAAAAATCCATGCCATTGTTTTCTTTCTAATTTCTAACATTTTGGGTGAGCTTATCGATCTGAGTCTCGTGTGATTTCATTTAACGTTGGGGGAATTCTCATTTCTCATCATACAAACAGTAGCATAGTTTGAATATTTGAGGGCAGGAAATAGAAAACTGAAAACAAAGAAGACGAATTGTGTGTATGGTGTTTGTTCTTTTCATCATTTCCTCCAGAAATCATTGCAATCAAAAAACGTAAAAAATAGTGAAATTCATAGGAATATTAATGTGATGTAAGGACAATCTACGAAATTTCTTAACTTTTACTGTTCAAAATGCTAATCTATTTGTCTGTTTAACAGATGAGATCGGTGAAAGTAAGCAACATCTCTTCAGATGCAACCGAGCAAGATTTGAGGGAATTTCTTACCTTCCCTGGAAAAATTGAACATGTTGAAATGGAAAGGTTTGTATACATAATATCAATGAAAAGGGAAGTCCCCAGATTTTGGATAGAACATGCAGCATATAATATCTCTCAATTTTTCAGTGACAAGGGAAGTTCCAAAGTTGCGTATGTGACCTTCAGTACTCCAGATGGAGCAGAAACTGCAGTTCTTCTCTCGGTAGATCCATTCTCATTGCCTTCTGCTAATTTTGTTGTTATGATACATAAAGATACATGTATCCAGTCATTTACATTTTACAAATCTATTCTCTATATTGAAAATTTGATGTTTCAATAGCTAATATTCTCTATTTGACAAACCGATAGAATATGCAGCTCTTTCTACTATGGGAAAGAATGGTAACAGTTTCACTATTATAGTAGAGCTGGCAAAATTAATTTCATGTTTAAGAGCTGACATGAAACTTGTGTTGGTGTCTTCAGGGAGCAGTTGTGTGTGGACAGTCTCTAAACATCGAATTGGCTAAGGATTATGCTTTGCCTACTTCGACCGCATCTCCAGTAACTATTCCCTCTAATTTTCTATTATTGCAGAGTAGAAACTATATATATTTATGACCATCATGTGTCTGATATCCCCCAAATAATCTCTGCATAATAGGCTGTCAAAAATTTTAACTTACAAAAAATAATAGAACTCGAGTACACCATGTTTGGAGAATTTAATTGAGAGTTGGGACTAAGGCAATGTCAGATAAAGTAACAAGTTTTCTCCTACTCAAAACAACAAAAATTATGAGTGAAACTCTCTTAAGAAAGCACAACACAAACTTGTGTGACTTTAATAAATTTTAACTTGTAATAAATAACGTTTTTAAGAGACTCTTAGAAAGTGATTCGCTCTTTTTTATTTGGTATCTGTAGTATGTTGAGAATCATGTTAGACAATTTATAGTGTAATGATTCTGACCTGCAACACAGACTAGTAACGCTGAGAGTGGGGAATCTGGTATGAGAAAGGCAGAGGATGTTGTAAGCAGCATGTTAGCCAAGGGCTTCATTTTGGGTAAAGATGCATTGAACCGAGCAAAATCCTTTGATGAAAGGCACAGACTTACTTCCACGGCCTCAGCAAAAGTTGCTTCTTTGGACCAGAAGGTGGGATTTACTGAAAAGATCAGTGCTGGTACAGTTATAGTGAATGACAAGGTGAAAGAAATGGATGAGAAATTTCAAGTCTCAGAGAAGACTAAAACTGCAATTTCAGCAGCTGAGCAGTCAGTGTCCAGTGCTGGATCTGCCATAATGAAGAATCGGTATGTGTTGACTGGGGCTACATGGGTCACAGGTGCTTACAACAGGGTTGCAAGGAAGGCTGAGGAAGTGGGACAGAAAACTAAGGAGAAGGTTTTGGCGCAGAATAATCAAGGAAAAACTGAAGAAGGTCACGTCCACACCAGTATGTCGGAACCCACGACAACTGATCAAACCTCCAAACAGGCAACCACGGTCAATGAACCCTCAAAACCTGAACCTCAACAGGCCACCACAGTTGATCCACCCTCCAAATCTGAAACTCAGCAGGCCACAACAGTTAATGAACCCTCCAAACCTGAACCTCAAGTGGCCACCATAATTAACGAATCCTCCAAACCTGAACCTCAAGTGGCCACCACAGTTAACGAACCCTCCAAACCTGAACCTCAACAGTTAACCAAGGATGGTCAATCTGCCAGTCCAGCAAAATCTAGTGCCTGATCCTATGATTTGCAAACGAATGTGTGAAATTTGGGTCATATATATGAGCTTGTTAGAGTATTTTTGAGAAGTTGGATGGTATATGTCTAATAACCAACTGTGTTGTAGAAATAAATTAAAACCGGAGAGCCTCAGTGTAGTACTTCTTTTCTGAGACTTCATGCAGTCAAATATATACCCTATTTACTCCGTCCTGAGGAAACACGGTTACGTCCATGTATCTTGTTTATTACGCTAGTTACTAATAGACTAATAGTTGCATGTATCTCTCCATGAGAATCTCTCTCTGTATATGTATGTGTGTGTGTATATATATATATATATATATATCAAATGATCTTTTAATTTCTAAAAAGTTTGTCTAATATTGTACTTAACAATTTGCAACCACACGCTATTTTTGGTGAACTTTCGAAAATCATATTAGAAGCTCGATTGAATACTTGAACGAGTTCTCACTCATGTTTTCACCAAAATAGATAATGGCGGCTGTAAAATGCTGAATGCGTCAGAGATTTATTCAGTCACGAATGCATAAAGAAAACAACTATTTAAATTGCTTAATACTAAATCATATCATTACATCACAGCTTTCCCTAGTTTGGAAATGCATTTGACATCGTATACAAATGAATTATTAATGTAAATAAATGCTGCAGTATGTGTGCTCCGCAATCACGTCCCGGTATAAAATGGGCCAAAGACTTCAGCCAGAACTTAAAAAATGTGTTAGGATGACGTCAATTAACTTACTGATGTCTCTCCAAAAACTTCTCTATTACGACGGAGAATGCCGCAAAGCCAGCACAACCAACACAAGCTGCCTTTGGGCCACCTAGAACCACGTCACAAAAAGGGAAAGTTTAACATACATCATGAAGGGAGAAATAAAGGTAGAGGACAGGTTCATAAAGGAGAACGTTTGATTTTCAATTCTTGGTTTGCCGGTTCATTATCCTTTTAGTATACCTCTCTCCCTCTATTCCTTTCTCATTACACCTATCACTCTTTACATGTCCCTCCCAAGGTTCTACTGTCACGAGATCTATTCAACTGATTCTTACCAAAGTGTATTATCTTATTTCCTGATTTTATTACAGCACAAAAAGAAAATTTAGCTATAAAACTACTTTGAAAAGGAATAAACAGAACAATTTTTAAAAAAGTCGTGTGTATAAGAGGGGTTTGTTGCCAAGGCTCCCCAAGGATGCCATGTTCCCTGCTGGTACAGCACTCCTCTATAGGGAGGCAGCGCTGACTTGGGCAACAATTCTTTTGGGTTGGTATGGTTTTTGAGTGTAGGGTGGTATTGTATAAATAGTTTCAAGATTGGGCTATCTTAAAAGCTGTAGGTAGGTTTCCAAGTATCAGAGTAAACAAGCACCAGCTTGCATTACATACACATCACTATCGCCTACCAACTTTGTTGGCCATTCCCAGAACCCATTCAACAATCCTCATCCTAAAACAGCAAGGACTAGTTCCTTCTACCTTGCAGATAACATTTCAGTTGAGATAAGCAGAAATAACCGTTTTTGTAAAGTTAAAAGTTCAGAGCAAGGGATTCAAGCTTCAAAGAACCTGAACCAATTCTTGAAAATGAATCATCTATGTTTAGGAACTGACAAGAAAATTCATTTTATGCTTTATTTTTATCATAGTAGTTAGTTATATTAAATTCTTGGTATCTTCAGAAAAGGAATTAAATTGTAGTATATCAATACTACAAAATCATTTTTCTATGATTATTAAATTCTATTGTGAAACAAGAGTTTAGTGACAATAAAAATTGAGGTTGTGATCATTTTCAAAAATAGAGTGTGGATGCAAAAAAAAGAGCAGTGCAATGGACTAACTTTTGTTGTAAATTATCATTTTCCCAGACAGGATTAGAGGACTAGAACATAAGCTCTTGAAAATCAATGATCCATTCTTCAACAACAAAGCCTTTTCCCACCAGGTGGAGTCAACTAAATGGATATGATCAAACAACACCATAATATTTTGTAATGAATAATTTATATAGAAAAATTATTGACTTCTAAATTTTTCTTAATGGCCATGCCATAGTTTTTCTTAGTCTCTGCCTCCAGCAATTGACTCTTAAATTTTTCATGACGGCAAAGCCTATAGTTTTTCTAAGTCTCTGCCTCTAGTATTTGAGCTATCTCCATCTGACCAAGTGTCCTTACGAGGGGCTTCTTCAGGTCATCTCCAACATGCCCAAACCACCAAAGTTTAGTTTCTCATCTTTTCTACAATAATTTTTCAATACAATATTTATTAATGATATATCTGCAAAAGTAAACCACTTCCAAAAGTGCATCCTTTTTCTTTCGTGGAACCCAGTATCTAAGATAAAACCAAACATAGAACAGCAAAGTGCAATCTTGCAGTATCACATTTACGTGCATAGGTCTCTAAGTCTGTTCTATACAAGCCTTGCCAGCCCATTTATGCAGTTCCTTTGCTAAATCAAGAGAAAGAAAAGCACGATAAAATGATAGAAAAACATAAAAAAATGTGTTACCTTTTGCTGATATTGCACCTCCAGTTGCACATCCAGCAACTACGGTATTTGTTATGTCATGTTTCGCTCGAGCCTGAAAAAAAAAATCAAGGGCCCACGTGGTAAGAAGAATGAGCCTCATAATGTAAATATATATTTCCATTCATCAAATTATCAAAATCCATTAGACCTTCTCAACAACACATTCAGCAGCTGAGAATACAAAACCCATGACAGCAAATGCTTTGGCTGAACTCCAACTCCTTCTCCCCATCTGCTTTGCTTGATATATAAGCTGTTGTCTGCCGGTCATTTCCTCTTGCATCAGTGGGTTGTCCAGTGCTCCAAGAAATAAACCCATGAAGATGCCAAGTCCACCCCCTAAAAGGAACATCACATGAATCCCAATAAACTCAAGTTCATTCAATGACATATTTGATGTGGCGGTACCCCTCAAATTGAATATGTTGAACCCTCAAATTGAATATGTTGAACGTAAAGTATGTGAGCAAAAAAGATCATTAATGGACTGAAACAATAGCCTAAATCATATAAAAAACCTATTGGGAATATTAATCTACTTGCCTCACAGACAATGATGAAGCATTAGCAGTAAGGATGGTTAGTCAAATTATGCATAATCCTAAAAATCCCATCTTAGAGTTTTCCATCGTAATAAGTACCCAATAGGTACCAGTGGAAAGAACATCCTAAATGAAGCTGAAATTTCATAAAGACACTGACTACACTTGAACAGTTGATGATATAAGGTCCATATTCATTTCAGGAAAATCAATTCAGTTAATCAGAGGAGCAAGAAGCAAAACAGAGGTACGCATTAGAAAAAAAAAAAAGGAGAGGATTGAATGGCATACCCATGACTCCACTGACAACACTGCGCACTGCACAATTGTTCCAAATGTCTTGACCACGGATTTCCTCAACCGAGGGCAGCCTTATGGGCTCAATCTGAGGCTTCTCAGCTTCTGCTGAGTTCAAAGAACCATTTTCAACTGCTTTATCGGAACCATCAGCCATTTGTAAAGCTTAACCAGAGAATACGGTAGAGCTGATTGAAATCCGCACAGATGCTGTGTAATCAACGAAGAAATAAATATTTCATCACTACTGCTACTTCGTTATGAAGTAAAACCGCACAAAATATCTATCAATGATGCAGAATAAATAGGACATCGAATCATACAGAAAAGTAAAATTGCAAAATACTATTTCACAGATGCTATGGTAAATAACAAATACAAGTAAGCTTGAAACAATGAGATGAGGAGAGGAAAGAGTACCAATCGGCGGAGACGCCCAGGAAACGGTGGAGGTTCGCTGTGAAGGGCGGAACGGAGGCAGAGGGTTCTCCGGTCTGGAGGAAGTAGAAGAATGGTGTGCCAGGATGCTGCCAGTTAGGGTACTAACCTATTTATACGTAAACATCTTCAGTTTCTTATATAATATAAGCTCTAAATAAATGAATATATATATATATATATATATATATAAGTGAGATTTTAATTTTAATATTCTCCTATAAAAAAAAGTATTACTTTTAAATATATTTTTTAACGTATTGTAAAAAAATATTGGTTGAGATTAACACTATTATATAAGTGAGGTGATTAAATTAATTTTAGATACCTATTTTAATTAGTTGATTTAATTATTATTTAGTATAAGTAAGGTAAGTTTATATTTTTTTTTACCTTTACATTCAATAATTTAGTTTTAGTGTTATATTTTTATTAAAAAATAATTGTAATTTATTTGAATGTTTGTAACTCTGCATATATTATGCATGCATACAAAAAATTATAAATCAGGAGACAAAAATATAATTATTCCAATAAAAAAATGAAAATAGAGGAAAAAACAAGAAAGAGAGAATCCATGTTTGGGGAAAATGAGAATCTATTATTAGTTTACTTTGTTATAGTGACGGGTTAAAACGGTTACTATAAGTTGTGGGGAAAATAATATATTATTTCGTGACACTTCAATTAATTGAAGTTTTTAGTACGTACTAGATAAATCAAATTAACTACATTATATAAATATGGTATAAAATATAATTTACTTAAAACAAAATTGCTGTGTTTTTTTTTGTCACTTACATACATTGTGTTTGATAATACAATAAAGAGATAAAATTGATATTAATCTAAAAATTATGACTTAATTGAGTTTTTAACAATAAAGAAAATATCATACTCATACACAAGGGTTATGATAATAATACGTACAGTTATTATGATTAAAAAATATTAAATAAATTATACAAATAATACCAATAAATTACAATGACGACATTGTATACAATATGACAGAATTTTAACTTCTTAGATGAAAAACAACAAATAAATAAAATTTATTTTAAATTATTATACTTTTAAATATTAAATTCTCATAGAAACCCACCCAACTAGTTGCTCACAACAAATTCTTTTTTACTTTTAGCTTAGTGTGTATTTATTAAAACAATGTGGTGGATTTTAAGGAAATTAATATCCCAAAAACATCGATATCACCTATTACAATTTAATTGCTGGATGATGGTAAAATTAACATGAAAAGTTTGTTGACTATTTAAACAATTAAAGAATAATTATGTTTATAATCCCTTGAAAAATTGTGGTAATTTCAGCTTTGGTTTCTCAAATTTAAAAAAAAAAGAATTTATTTTCCCAAAAAATAAAAAATATAATTTTAGTCCTTACATTTTAAATTTAACGAATTAAAATAATTTTAAATCTTAAATTTTAATTTCTGAAAAAACATATTTTAGTATATAATGTAATGTTTAGAAGGACTAAAATCATATACTTTTCAATATTAAAAAAAGTCTTTATAAATTGGATGAATCAAAACTACAATTACTCTTGATTTCATGGACTAAAATAAGCTAAAAACAGATTTAATTTCAAGTGCCTCTTTTGGATTGTGATAATATATTATAAGAGATCAAGACATTATTAGTTTTTTAATTGAAGTTATTAATAAAGGGAGCAATAAAGGGAGAGCATCATATTCCGAGTCTTTAATAATCAACTTCCTGATTAAAAAAATTAAACAAATAAAAAAAAAAGCTGTGTTAACCTTGAAGATATTATGCTAATCTTTAATAGACAACTAAATTTTTTATTCACTTATTTATTCAGAATTGGGGTGTTTTGTTCCGTAGAGATAACTTTAGTTTAAGAAAAATGATAGTTTGATGTAGATAAATTTTTTATATTCATTTAACATTATTTTATTTTTCTCCTAAAAAAATACAAAAATATAATTAGTCGAAACTATTTTATTTTTTACTTTGTGTTAAATAACGTAAAAATATGTCGTTTAAAACATATAATTAACTTTAAATCTTATTTTATAATCGATTTTTATAAAATTAAGTTAGATTTAAAGTTTATTTTTCAATATAATATCAAAATGATGATTAAAGTATAGGTTTAATGTCTTAATAGATCCATATTTTTGTTATGTTCTTTTATTTTTTGGCGTCTCAGTTGGATCCTTATTTTTGTTAATTTGATGCAAATAAATCCTTTTCGTCAATTTCATCAAACGGTGTTAATGAATGTGTGACGTGGCTGAGGACTCAATTGAGACGTCAAAAAATAAAGGAACCTATTACAAAAATAGGAATATTGAGACATTAAACCTTAAAGTATATGTTGAACAAATTTTATTGTGGGTTAGATATATTATTTTGGAAGAAAACAAAATAATAAAGACAAAAACTTAAATTTTCTGTGAAATTTCGAAGTTTTCGAAAAAAAAAAATGAAGGTTGTTTTATCTTTTTGTGATTTTATCTAACGTAACGTACGAGGAATTATATGAAATTGGAGCTTTGGACTTATATACGAGAAGGCTGAAACTCCAAGGAACACATCCACCACACTGTTTGTCGTCACCCACATCAACAAAACAGCGGAATTCAAACCTTCTTCCTTTGGTTTTCACTTCATCTTTGCTAGCTCAAGCGCAGTTTTTCATCCGCAAATTTTGAGGAAAAATGAGCGAAAATCTGATGGGAAGAGTGAACGCTTTGGGGGAGCGACTGAAAATTGGAGGAGCTGAGGTGGGTCGGAAGATGAGTGCTGGAATGAGTTCTGTAAGCTTCAAAGTCAAAGAGTTTTTCCAGGATTCAAGCCATGCCGATAAACTCGTCGGGGAAGCTACCTCCGAGACCCTTCATCACCCTCACTGGCCCATCATTCTTCATCTGTGTGATTTGATCAATGGTGATCAGCTTAACACTGCTGAAGCGGTTCGTGCTATAAAGAAAAGGGTTGTTTCCAAGAGTCATAGAACTCAGTATCTGGCTCTGGTTCTGCTTGAAGCACTGGTCAAGAACTGTGACAAGGCTTTCTTGGAGGTGGCAACTGAGAGAGTCCTTGATGATATGGTCAAGCTCATTGATGACCCTTATACTTTTGTTAATAACAGGAACAAGGCTTTGATGATGATTGAAGCTTGGGGAGAGTCAACCACTGAACTTCGCTATCTTCCTGTCTATGCACAAACTTTCAAGGTAATTTCTCAACTTTACAGGCCTTTCACTTGTGAAATAAGAGAAGCAAAATAGGGTATTAGTGTCAACTCAAGATTTGTTTGAATTGGATCATTTCTAAATAAGAGTTAAAATTTATTTCTTATCATAACTATCTTCTTTTAGCGATATTGGTTGTTTTTTTGATGTTAGTTTCACCACAGTCGGAGTGTAAGTGAACGCAAACCTCACCTATAAATGAATGCAAACATTACTTTATAAATCAATTTTGTAGAGTTGAATTAAACTTAAAAATCAACTTCACCGTTTTAACTAACAATATGGTATTTTTGCTTTTGAACTTTCCTTGTCTATCCTTTTTGTAATGATTCATGAATGGTTTCATATATAACACTTTTCTGATCCAGAGTTTGAAATCGAGGGGTATTCTATTCCCCGGTCGTGACAACGAAAGTTTGGCTCCTATTTTCACTCCACCTCGTTCTGGCACTGCTCCAGAGGCAGATGTCAGTCTTGAACATCTTATGCAGCATAATGTACAGAGTTTTTCGCCTGTTACTCCTTCTCGTTCTGCCTCTACTTCAGAGGCTGATGTCAATCTTGCACATCTTATGCACCATGACGTTCGTGTCAAAAGCTTTACGTCTCAACAAACAGAGGAAGCTTTTGATGTTGCGAGAAACAGCTTTGAGCTTCTTTCTACCGTGTTATCTTCTTCAACGCAGAAGGATGTTCTAAAGGTATTCTCCTTTGTTTTCGTTGAGTACTGGTTGCATTCTTATGTTTCCTTTCGCTTGAAACTTGACATCGACCACAATATTCAAAGACCATGCGATCTTAGCTCTTTACTGTAATGCTTTTAGTGACCAACTTGTGTATGATATTTTCAGGATGATTTGGTTACGACATTAGTACAACAGTGCCGACAGTCTCAGACAACTGTCCATAGAATCATTGAGACATCATGGGATAATGAAGCACTGCTTTGTGATGCCTTGAATATAAATGATGAGATCGAGAAGGTTGTGAAGAGATATGAAGAAATGAAGAAGAAGAAGAAGAAGCATGCAGAACCTGAAACTGCCACAGAAGATTACGAGGCACCCCATTTTACAGAAGAGGAAGCTCTGGTTAGAAAGAGTGGAAGTTCGAGAAGTGAAGTTCAGAGAGGGAACCAGGATGACATGTTGGATGATCTTGATGAGATGATATTTGGGAAAAGGGGTGGTTTTGATGGAGGACAATATCCAAACAAACAACGTTCATCAACAAAAGATGATCTCATCTCCTTCTGAGTTCACACTACAACAAAGTTTCGATTTTTATTACAACACTACGTTTGATTTTGTGGCTTCCTGTTTTCGTTTTATACATGTTGTTTATGAAACGATGTCTCATACTACTTTCTTTCCATTATTCTTTCCTTTCTCTCCCTTCTATTAGTATTGGTTAAAACCATCATCAATATGAAGCTTTAATATTATTATTATAAACAAAATTCCACCTAGTACAATTTTTCATTTTTTTTCATATATCTTTTATAAGTATATATACTATTACAGTTTATATGTATGGTCTATAGCTCAGATTGTTTAGCTGCCATAATGAATTTAATCGATTATCAAACAAATTCGTAAATCATGAATTAATGAATTTGAAAGTAAATATGATTACCCACAATTAGATTCAAAAGTTTATTTATCTAAAAAATAAGTTATTATTGTTTAATTATTAATTATGAAAAATTAAATTGATTTTAACATCAAAGAGAATTAACTCAATTCCATACCTCAAACAATATCTATAAAAAATAACTCTAAAAATATAATAGATTATAATAAGAATGTCTCACGCTTAATTTGATTTAATTTTCAATAAGAGTCGGTCTAGTTAAACCTACACAATCAAATATAGTTTGATTTAAATTAATTTAATATAAATTTAAATTAGATCAAATTAATATTTTGCAATTGATCATAAGTAAAGTTTGTAATTTTTTTAGATATCTTATATGATTTTTCTTTTAATTTCCCTTTAGTTTGGGTATGAATAATAAAATCAAACAAGTTTATGTATATATATAATTAATATATTTTACAAAGTAAAAATTAAACAAAGAGGTGAAAATTAAAAATACTATTAGCTATACACTCGTGAAGGAACATTATCTGGAGAATTTGAGAGATTGTATCTTGATATTGTTATAGATGAGCGGTGTTGTGTCTGTAAATTTTTGTGTGCAGTGATCGACCGTGACAATGGCCGGAAAGTACATTCCACGATCGAAATCGCGAGCCACTCTGTTCCTCTTCCTTCTCGCTTTCTCTCTCCTCTTCATCCTCTTCTCTCTCTCTCCTCTCCGCTCTCCCTCCCTTTCTCCCACCAATGTCCGCGTTTCCGATGCCGAAACTTCCTTCCTCGTCTCCCTCGACCGTTTCCTCACCGCCACGCCGTCCTCCCTTTCCGACGACACCGCGCACGACGGACAAGAGGACCTCGTCGCCAAGCTCGACGACGCCGTTTATCGCTCCGAGATGGACAGGCTGTACACCGATCCTTACTACCCGCTCTCCCTTCCCCTTAGGGTTTACGTCTACGACATGCCCCCAAAGTTCACCTACGATTTGCTCTGGCTCTTCAAAAGGACCTACCGGGAAACCTCCAATCTCACCTCCAATGGAAGTCCCGTTCACCGTCTCATCGAACAGGTTTCTTCCTTCTCCTCCTGTTTTTCCTCGCTTTATTCCCTCACCGTTTGTTAATCTGTTAATTGCGTCGGTTGGTTGTGATTGCGGATGCAGCACTCCATTGATTACTGGCTCTGGGCGGATCTCATCGCACCCCAATCGAAGAGGCTCTTGAACAGTGTCATCAGGGTTCAACGACAGGAGGAGGCTGATTTGTTTTACGTACCCTTCTTTACCACTATCAGCTTCTTCCTCATGGAAAAACAACAATGCAAGGCCCTTTATAGGGTGTGAGTGCTCTTCTAATGCTCTCATTTCTCTTCATGTTACCTTCTTTCAATTATGCATTAACCACCAATTTGATTATCCAACTATTACCCTTCTCTTCCTACATAATAAAACCATATAAGTTATTCCCCAAGTATTAATGTTTAGCCCCCGAGTTTGATAAACTTTACTAACAATTTAAGAACTAATTTGAAAGGTTTTTTGAATATTTAGAGACTGTAGACAGTGTATTACTTTAAAAATTAGTATTTAGGAGAGAGGGTAATACTTCAGGCGGAGATTGAGAGTTTATTCCTTAACTATTAACAATATTAGTATTTAGGAGAGAGGGTAATACTTCTGGAGGAAATTGAGAGTTTATTCCTTGACTATTAACAATACTAGAACCTTGTTTTTCTGGTTTGATGGCTAGTGCAATGTGGATAATTATGCCTGATGTTGTTGTGGATGTAGGAAGCTTTGAAGTGGATCACTGATCAACCTGCATGGAAGCGCTCTGGTGGTAGAGATCACATAATCCCTGTGCATCATCCCTGGTCTTTTAAGTCTGTTCGAAAAGACGTGAAGAAAGCAATATGGTTGTTGCCTGATATGGATTCCACAGGGAACTGGTCATTTTTTAACTTGCACACCACTTTTTAAATTCAATGTTATTGTTTGTTAGAAGTGGCATCCAGTGATCCTTTTCCTCTTTCAGGTACAAGCCAGGACAGGTTTTTCTGGAGAAGGACCTGATTCTTCCAATGTTCCCAATCTTGATTTATGTGATGCCAAGTGTTTGGCTGAGACCAATCCTAAGAGAAATATGCTGCTTTTCTTTCGGGGCCCGGCTCAAGAGAAATGCGGTAAGCATGTTGTGTGATGCCTGGTTAATTTATTGACTGGTAGGTGGAAGCTTTAAAAGTTCTATCTGCATTTGATGTCACTTCACTTGAAATCTAGAAATCTGAGTTTAATGTTA